AATAGCCCAGTCATGTGGTGCACATTTGTAATCCCAGTGACTCAGGAAGCTGATGTGGAGGATTGCAAGTTCAAAGTGGGCCTCAGCAACTTAGAGAAACTCTGTCTCAAAAAAAAAAAAAAAATTAAAAATCCGGGGGTGTAACTAAGTGGTAGAACACTCCTGGGTTCCATTCCCATTACCACCTCCACACACAAACAAAATCATCTAATATAACTCTTTAGTTTAAACCCAGACCTAAAGATTAGTAAAAATAAAATTGAAACAAATTACACTTTTTATAATATAACTTTAAAAAATAACATTCCGTTAAAAAAGACAAAAACCAAAATCTATTGCAGGGGTCTTTTCTACTTTTTAACAAGTCCAAATGAGATAAATATATCTGGTTCATTTTGTTATTTAGAGTACCATTTGCCAACAAAGAATTTGAAGTGGAGGAAAAGGGAGAAAGAAAAAAAATACATATACTATATTTTGAATTTGTTGGTTGAAGGAAGCATCTCAACTTAAAATTTTCAACTCTATAGATGTTTTATAGATCCAATGTTTTGTTGTTATTCTTTGCCCAAAATACCAAACCTAGTTTTGTGTTATTTCCTGGTGTCTATGAAGTGGGAATGGACAGCTTCCCTCTCTGTCTTGACACTAAGCAGGCCAAGTTCAAGAACCAAACCACAGGCAAGGGAAAAGTGAGGGCCAGCTCATTAAATTCTGTCTATACTTTTAAGAATAGCCAGATTTTTTAGACCTTACAATTTCAGCATAGTGGTCAGGAGAGCCATCAACAGTAGACTTGGGGTGGCCATTTTTATTTTCTAAGAAGACATCTGAAATGTCAAGGAAAGAGCCACAGACTTGCAGTCAGAGAATCAGAGTCTGACTGCCAGCCCTGTCACATTCCAATTTGTGGAAGTCACATAATTTCAAGTGCAGTTTTCACAGCTATAAAACAGATGATAATGATGATAAACATGTCACAGAATTGTTGAGGATAAATTGAGACAACACCTGTAAAATTGCTGAACAACTGGAGTTATTATTTGCAGCTCCTGTAGAGTATGAAGGTGTATACTAGTCTTGACTGTAAGCCCTTTATTGTTTAATTTTTTTAAAAAAGTTCTGAATATGATAGTTCTAGATTTGAAATAATGGAGACCTGGGAACCAGAGGAAAAAATCCTAAGTTATCACAGGCAAAGAATAGTGTGAGTTTGGCTAGATATATTGTGGTCAGCTGGAGAGAGATGAAGGGAGGGAAGCTGTGGCTGGTAATGGCCTCGTGTCTGAGTTTCTGGGAGAAAGGGAAAGGGTGGATCCTACCTGGATGTCCTGGTAGACAGTACTAGGGCCAGGCAGTTGAAGGTTTCCCCTGGCATGCCTAACAGGGAACCTGCTCATTTGCTTGCGTATAATTTTAAAAAGGGAGGTAAAAGACCCAGAATAGCAAAAGCAATTCTAAGCAGGAAGTGTGAATCTGGAGGTATAGCGATACCAGAGTTCAAACTGTACTACAAAGCAATAGTAACAAAAACAGTGTGGTACTGGTACCAAAACAGGCAGGTGGACCAACGGTACAGAATAGAGGACACAGAAACCAATCCACAAAATTACAACTTTCTTATATTTGATAAAGGGGCTAAAAGCATGCAATGGAGGAAGGATAGCATCTTCAACAAATGGTGCTGGGAAAATTGGAAATCCATATGCAACAAAATGAAACTGAATCCCTTTCTCTCGCCATGCACAAAAGTTAACTCAAAATGGATCAAGGAGCTAGATATCAAATCAGAGACACTGCGTCTGATAGAAGAAAAAGTTGGCTACGATCTACATACTGTGGGGTCGGGCTCCAAATTCCTTAATAGGACGCCCATAGCCCAAGAGTTAATAACAAGAATAAATAAATGGGACTTACTTAAACTAAAAAGTTTTTTCTCAGCAAGAGAAACAATAAGAGAGGTAAATAGAGAGCCTACATCCTGGGAACAAATTTTTACCCCTCACACTTCAGATAGAGCCCTAATATCTAGAATATACAAAGAACTCAAAAAATTAAACAATAAGATAACAAATAACCCAATCAACAAATGGACCAAGGACCTGAACAGACACTTCTCAGAGGAGGACATACAATCAATCAACAAGTACATGAAAAAATGCTCACCATCTCTAGCAGTCAGAGAAATGCAAATCAAAACCACCCTAAGATACCATCTCACTCCAGTAAGATTGGCAGCCATTATGAAGTCAAACAACAATAAGTGTTGGCGAGGATGTGGGGAAAAGGGTACACTTGTACACTGCTGGTGGGACTGCAAATTGGTAAGGCCAATTTGGAAAGCAGTATGGAGATACCTGGGAAAGCTGGGAATGGATCCACCATTTGACCCAGCTATCGCCCTCCTGGGACTATTCCCTAAGGATCTTAAAAGAGCGTACTATAGGGATACTGCTGCTGGGAGCCATTAGCCAAGTAGGTATGACAATTTCCTTGCCAGCGTACCCCATGTTGCTTAGTAAAAGGACTCGTGGAAATAGGACATTTTGCAGTGACATTGCATGTAGGTGACCTTGCTCAAGGACCAGGGTGGATCCGGGTTTAGGGTGTTCCCGGTTTAGGATAATCCAGGTTTAGGGCGTTCCAGGTTTAAGGTTATTCCTGCTGGGAATAGGGCGTATCCTGCTGCCTGAGTTCCCCTTGAGTTCTCACGGGATTCAGACAGTATTTTTTGGGAGACAGAAGCCCAGTGGGGGTGGATTTGGGCAGAGAATGTGGATTTCCCCAGAACGTGATTGTAGACGGCTGGTGTGAGTTCGGGAATAAAGAGTTGCTGTTTGAATCTACAAGCTGTGTGGTGGCTCGTGATTTTGTGCCCAGCCAGACTGCGGCATACTGCCACATCAATGATCATAGCGGCACAATTCACAATAGCTAGACTGTGGAACCAACCTAGATGCCCTTCAATAGATGAATGGATAAAAAAAATGTGGCATCTATAGACAATGGAGTACTACGCAGCAATAAAAAATGACAAAATCATAGAATTTGCAGGGAAATGGATGGCATTAGAGCAGATTATGCTAAGCGAAGCTAGCCAATCCTTAAAAAACAAATGCCAAATGTCTTCTTTGATATAAAGAGAGCAACTAAGAACAGAACAGGGAGGAAGAGCATGAGGAAAAGATTAACATTAAACAAAAACGAGTGGGGGGAGAGAAAGGGAGAGAGAAGGGAAAGCATATGGAAATGGTAGGAGACCCTCAATGTTACACAAAATTACATAGAAGAGGATGTGAGGGGAAAGGGGGGGAAACAAGGGACAGAATTGAACAATAGCAGATGAGGTAGAGAGGGATGAGGGGAGGGGAGGGGAGGGGGGATAGTAGGGGAAAGGAAAGGTAGCAGAATACAACAGTCACTAATATGCCATTATGTAAAAATGTGAGTGTGTAACCGATGTGATTCTGCAATTTGTATTTGGGGTAAAAATGGGAGTTCATAACCCAATTGAGTCAAATGTATGAAAGATGATATATCATGAGCTTTGTAATGTTTTGAACAACCAATAAAAAAATAAAAAAAGGGAGGTAAATGTCCTAGAAATAGTCTAAATTCGACAAAGGTATGAGGAAAGAATCACATTGACTTTAAGTTTTCAAGGCTTTCATCAGCTACTTGGATTAAGGAAGGATGTAAAGGAGACAGAAATTTAGGCAACCCTATAAGCATTCTTCCCCTGAGAATCCTAATCACCTCGCTGCAGTACACCTTCCAGCAAGTTCCAATATATGGAGCACTTTTTTGTAGGGGATTTAGCCAGTGATTACTTGGAAGAGGTAATGTGAAAATACATACAGTGTTAACTCTTTCTAAATGCTGCACAGTAGAAGAAATGCAAGTAGCTCAAATGAATGTCATGGAGGGTTTCATAGAATATAAGCCAATAGTTATAAATATTCAGTAGGAAGAAGAAAAAAATGAACAAACAGGATGAAGTGGAATCATTAACCAAAGAGTGTGTATGATTTATGCTTTTTTTGGACCTAATAATAATAAAAAATAGGTAAGAATTTTTTATACACCTAATATAGTAAAAGGACAGCTGACTATCATTTGAAGTTGAGTACTTTTCCTAAAACATAAAGCAACTAGACAGATACTTCTCAGAAGAAGATATACAAATGATCAACAAATATATGAAAAAATGTTGTTCAACATCTTTAGTTATTAGAGAAATGCAAATCAAAACTACTCTTAAGATTTCATCTCACAACAGAATAGAAATAGAAAGAAATAGAAACAACAATAAGTGTTGGCAAGGATGTGGGGGGAAAAGTACACTCATACATTGCTGGTGGGACTGCAAATTGGTGCAACCACTTTGGAAAACAGTATGGAGATTCCTTAGAAAACTTAGAATGGAACCACCATTTGACCCAGCTATCCCATTCCTCAGGCTATATCCAAAGGACTTAAAATCAGCATACTATAGTAATGCAGCCACATCAGTGTTTATAGTAGTATAATTCACAATAGCTAAATTGTGGAACCAACCTTCAGTAGACAAATGGATAAAGAAACTGGTATATATACACAATGGAATATTACTCAACATTAAAAGAGAATAAAATTATGGCATTGGCAGGTAAATGGATAGGGTTAGAAAATATCATGCTAAGTGAAGTAAGCCAATCCCAAAAATCCAAAGGCCAAATGTTCTTTCTGATAAGTGGGTGCTGATCCATAAGGAAGGGCAGGCATGGAAAAATGGAGGAACTTTGATTGGGTAAAGAGGAGGGAGGAGGAGGTATGGGGGCAGGAAAGATGGTGGAATGAGATGGACATTATTACCCTAGGTACGTGTATGACTGCATATAAGGTGCGACATTACATCATGTACAATCAGAAATGAAAAGTTGTGCTGCAATTGTGTACAATGAATCAAAATGCATTCTGCCATCATATATACCTAATTACAATAAATAAATAATTTTTTAAAAAAGCAACTAGAATAAAAACCACAAGTATTACCAATAAATGGGTACATTTTACAAAATAACTCAGCTGAGTGAAAAAAATGTAAAAATTTTGTTTTTATAGTTAAAGCTTTTTAATCTCTGACACATAACAATAATTGAAAGAATTCTGAGAAATCAGACAAAAGTATTTGGTGGATTTGAGTTAATGGGCCAAGCAAGCTTCTTTTCCTTGGCTTCTCTGTCAAATGAATCATAGATTGAGTCTTTGGTTACAGTTTTGGCTATGGGAGGGATTTCTGAAATGCCAACATAGTTCTTTTTGGCCATCCTTGAACTTGTTGTGATAGTATAGGCATTGCTTCGGTAACACTTCATTGAGGACATGCAAAAAGTCTCTTTCATTCCTCTCCTAAAATTGGCATTATAAATTGAATACAGAGTAGGTTTAGAGGCTGAAGAACTAAAGGATATCCATGTGACAGCTGTGAAAACAAGGGAACTTTTCTTATAATCATGTTCATGGGGGTGCCACAGCTGAACTACATGAAAAGGCAGCCAAGAAAACAAGAACAACAGATTTAAAATGAGGAACATCTTGACTGTTTTCACTTTTGTCCTTGGGACAATGTTCATTGTCCTCCTCACTGTTCGGCCATCAGTACCTATCCTCCAAATATACTTTATGACCTTCTGGTAAAATAAGATTATGAGGACAGATGGAATCACAAAGCCCACCAAGAAGTGGATGACAGTGTAAGCAGTTCCTTCCCAAGAGGAAGGGAGGAAATAGTTACAGTGACTGTCCCAGTTGGAGCCATAGAAAAAGAACACGGGGGTCACAAAGGCTGCATCAAAGATCCATGATGCTGCAATCATTTTCTTGGCTTTTTCTCTGGACACCTTAAAGCTCAGTGGGTAGACAATGGTGTAGAACCGGTCAATGCAGATGGAGAGGAGAACGTAGATCTGGACACCTGGAGTGAGATATTGAAAGTATCGCACCATCTTGCACATTGCGGTACCCAATGTCCACCTTCCAGTGGTGAACTGGAGCAGGACAAATGGAGTGCTGGCCACGCTTATGAGAAGGTCAGCACAGGCCATGGAGACCACAAAGTAGTTGGTGGTAGACTGAGTCCTCCTGCTCCTATGGATAACCAAACAAACCAGGGAGTTGCCAAAGATAGAAAACAACCACAGAGCCCCAAAGAAAATGCTGGCTGTGGCCACTTCCCCCGGTTTCAGTCCATATTGAAGGTCTGTTCTGTTGCTCATCCAGTTGGGCTCCTCATATAAATCCATCAGGTCATGGCTTGGCAGAGGCGTGGCTGTTTCAGTGCAGCTGTGGTTCTGGAGGGACACCAGAGGTGTAGGAATAACCAAAGGTGGCTTGCTGTGATCCATTCTGTGAGCAAAAACCATATTCACTTTTTTTCTCTTAGTTCTGGATAAGAAAAGAAGAATGAGGGCTCCTGTTAAAATGGTGTCAATATAGACTGACTACTAAAACTAACAGTTTTATGACAGATTGGTTGTCATCTGTCAATGAGCGGGGCTTCTGCACTAGCAGGAAAACATAATTACTACCTGAAGAATTTCTGCTCCCCCTCCATTTCTTTTTCATTTTAGAAAGAGCTCAGGCTCTCTCTGGACTCACCATTCTGACCCTTAATCAGATGTGGTAGAACTCATGTCACACCCCATCCCTGCACATGTCATTGTCTCCTTCACCCACTGAGGGTTCACAGAGGGTTGGGGAGCTCAAATCTGGCTCATGGTAAGTTTGTTACCACTAGCTGAAGAAGTGTTGGAAGTCTGGCCAACCATGTGACAAGTTCCTAGATGTCATACACACAATGAAGCTGCAAGAGAGGAAAGCTTGGGCAGAAGGAAACACAGACACTGGCTGTGGAAAAGGCAAATAGGAGTCTGTGAAAATAGACTGTCTGGCTATGGAAGAGCCCTTACTGACTGCAGACCTTCTATTAGAAAAACATTATGGTAACACATGAAACAGTCAGCACAGCTCTTAATTTAATGACATCTGTAAACAGCTTCCTTTTCCAGAAGATGATGCAGTTCATGTACTAACAGTGTGCTACCTACCAATGACGTTACTTTGATGTCATGGTGTTGTTATTGCTTCATGAAAGAACATACATATTTTAAATCAGTGAACTCTGACTCTACCTAAATTGCTGCAGCTCTGTTTATTTATTCAATAAACTAAGAAACTGCTTGGTACTAGAGAAACAAAGATTAGGAAGGCATTATAAAATAATCAGTCTGTGGGGGCTGGGGTGTGGCTCAGTTGTAGCACACCTGCCTGACATGTATGAGGCACTGGGTTCTATTCTCAGCACCACATATAAATACATAAAATAAAGTCTATCAACAACTAAAAAATATTTTAAAATAAAATAATGTCTGTCATATTATAACAATTTGAAAATAATTATAATTAACTTCTAAAAACAGACATATTTAAAAGGAGCTAAGAAACAGAAAAATAGACTCAATTTTGGGGTAGGAAAGGAAAGGTTTCACAAAGGAGCTGAGATTTGAGCCTTACTGCAACATTTTATAAGTTCGTTTCACTCTAGCTTAGCAATAAACTGAAATTTACCAGGGAGCCTTAAAAAATACTGATGCTTGGATTCCATTCTCCAGGGTTCTAATTTAACTGGTATCATATGCAACCTGGACTACAGGATGTTCCAAAGTTCCCCAGGTGATCCTAATGTGCAGCCACAGTTTAGAATCTTTGCTTTAGGGGCTGGGCACAGTGGCCCATGCCTGTAATCCCAGCTATTTGGGAGGCTGAGGAAGGAGGGTCTCAAGTTCAAGGTCAGACTTAGCAATTTAGCAAGACCCTGTCTCAAGATAAAAAAAATTAAAAGGGCTGGGGGTGTAGCTCAGTGATAGAGCACCACTGGGTTCAATCCTCAGTACCACAAAACAAACAAAAAGAATCACTGATTTACAATTATTTCCATGTTTCTGTCTGCCCCACTGAACTATTGGCTCATGGGGGAGGAGGTGTTATTCTTCCTCTATTCTCTACAGCTTCTACTGAAGTTCTTTACATTAGTAATTGCTTTTAAATATTTAGTAAATTGGATTCTTAAGGACAGAGAACTAAAATAAATGATTCCTTATTCTCTGTGGCTCTGCTAGGATAATTAAAAACCGGATAGAAAATCATTGTGCATTCTCAGGAAGCTGAAACATTGGTGACCACAGTGATATGGGAAAATATGACTCCTGATAAGAGCAGGGCAGATGTGATCTAAGTAACCCAGGTCAGCAGCTACATGAAGCCAAAGCCTCATCTAAAGGAGAAGAAAGGTAGACAGGTATCCTCAGACAGGTTCTGGGAGTTCCCCACTCCCAGGGAAACTTGTCTGCTATATTAAATTCTAAGGCTCCAAAGTAAAATTTCAGAAAAGGCTCTTCTGCTGCATCAATTTGGAAACAAACATTCTTCCAGGGAGTGTTTCTGAAATACAAGGGCTCTTTAGCAATTATATCACAGAGCCACCCATATGTGGTCATTTCAGGAGTGACAAGAATTCTTCATCTCTTTCCTGCTCTGACTTAAGTCAGAGCAGGAAAGAGATGAAGAATCACAGCCAGTTTTGAGACTGCCAATATATCATACTCCATTAGGTAGAGGACTGAAGGCCTTTTTAAATCTCTATATATTATCTAAAAGTGCAATCACTTATTAAATTATATTACTATCTATCCATACTCTAAGAGATGTATTTAATATATGGGTGGAGAAAATGGTGATGGGTACAGAACTAGGGGCTAGGTAGGCCTCTGCAATCAGGTAACTTGGGGAGCCTGAGATGTTACTAGGCCTCATCACTTGATATTATAATTTTTATTTTGTACGTTTGTCTCCTCCATTAGGTTACAAGTCTCTCAGGGATTATGTCTTATCTCTATATCCCTTGGATATTTAGATACTAATAAAGATTCACTAAACATATGAATGGGCACATATGTTAATAAAAATTATCCAATACTTGAAAAGGTGGCAAAGGTATTGTTGTGCTGGGACGCACACCCCACACAGTTCCCTGGCAAACCTAGGACTTCCATATGCTGCACAAGCACTCTACCACTGAGCCACACCCTCAGCTCTATGAGACATTCTTAAATGGGCCTTCCTCAGGATTATTAATTCTCTGGAAAAAATGAGCTTGTGCTTGTTTTGCTATTTACTATTCGACCAGCACATAGACACTATGAAAATTACATGTCAACTTGTAGAGTTTTGCATAAAAAATGACTCCAAAGTTAATGAACTTATTGCCTTGTAGGACATTAACCAACTTATGTCTACTTAGCTGACACTGTTTTTATACTAACAATGTTTTTTAAAAAATGACTATAAATATCTCTTAAAAGGTTCTTGGAACCAGCTTTATTATTTCATTGATTCTTTCAGTAGTAAGTTAATAAATCTTTGATATATGTTCATTCTGTATTTGTTAAAAAGTCACAATTTTAACTTTTTGAAATTCATACTTTTTATGGCTAGCTGGCAGAATGAATGGATGAGTGGAAGCTAATATAAGAGGGAGGGGAGGAAAAAGGAAAAGAGAGGCACAGATGACAAACTGTGCTCTGCTAAGGGCTATTCCTGACTTTGTGTACCAATTGCTGGTTAGGGTTTTGTTTGTTTGTTTTAAAGACTCAAAAACCCTAACAACTGATTTTTATCCTCCTGAAGTTGTGAAGATTCACAAACATTCTCACCATTTTGGAAGACCATTCTTATTTCTGAGATTTGCTTAAAAATTTAATATCATTCAGGCATGGTGGCACATGCCTATGATTCCAGCTACTGGAGGGGTTGAGGAAGGAGGATAAGAAGTTTGAGGCCAGTCTGGGCAACTTAGCAAGACCCTGTCTCAAAATAAAATAAGGGTTAGGGATGTAGGTCAGTGGTGGAGCACCCCTGGGGTCCATTCCCAATCTAGTAATATATACATACATACATAGAATTTTTAAAAAAATTAGGTGTAGTTGGACACAATACCTTTATTTTATTTATTTATTTTTATGTGGTGCTGAGGATTGAACCAAGCACCTCGCACTTGCTAGGCAAGTACTCCACCACTGAGCCACAACCCCAGCCCCATACATAAAATTTTTATGTTAAAATTTTTACAGTTTTAAAAAAGAAGCATTTTCTTTTTTTATTAGTTGCACATGACAATACAATGATCTTGACATATCATACATTTGAATCAAATGGGGTATGAATTCTCATTTTTCCTGGTGTACATGTTGCAGAATCACATTGGTTATACGGCCACGTATATACATACATCAATACTAGTGTCTATTTTATTCTGCTGCCCTTCCTATACCCCCTCCCCTCCCCTCCCATCACCTCTCTCTACCCAATCTAATGTGACACATTTCTCTCTTTTTTTTCCTTCCCCCTCACATCATCATACATGTATTTTGTATACTGATGAGGGTCTCCTTCCATCTTCCGTGCAATTCCCCTTCTCCCTGCCATTCCCTCCCACCTCTCTTCTCTATTTAGTGGTAATCTTCTTCTCATGCTCTTCCTCCCTACTCTTTTTTGAGTCACCCCCCTTATATCAGAGAAGACATTCGGCATTTGTTTTGTAGGGATTGGCTAAAAAAGAAACATTTTCTATAGAATGGGAAGTATTTACTAGACCTAAGCAGATACATAATGCTATTTACTATAGAGCAGAACAGAAAGATTAATTACAGTGATGATGGTAGGTATAGTGTTGGTATCACCCAGAGTTAATATTACTATGATCAGGCATTTCTTATGCATAATGCTTCAATGTAGGTAATATTATTACTCTGTTTTACAAGTTTAAAAGCCTGAAGTTCTTCCTCTCAGGTCATATGTTGGAAAGACTGCCTTGTCCTTAACTGTCATCAGGGCTTCATATCCACTGAGACCACAAAGGGCTTGATCCGAATTCAGAAGGTTAAATGGGCCATACAGGGGTAGGTCCTTCTGGACTCTTCATCCAAACATAGGAAGATGAAGCTATTCCCCACAGCCTCTTCCTACCCACAGATACATCTGTTCAATATGCCAGCTCAGAAATATGTGACACAGCAAACACTTAAAAAAAAAGTCACTCCCACCACGTACTGCATGGAGGCTTAGCATCAAGAGTGCAACAGACACGCTGGTCTGGAGATACAGCCTTTCTTCAGAATAAAGGGTGTGAGAGCGTTGGAAATGCAACATGACTGATGATTAATTTGTCTTTTAAACACAGAATGAAAGCAGAGCTCCATACTTTAGTTTGAATTGAAATGAGGAAAAGGTTTGATCAATGATGCTACCTACATAGGAAACTGTCTTTTTATAACTTAATTGTTTTATTTAAAAATTATATGGTGGTAGATATTTTTTATTAAACCTTT